AAGAAGAAGAAGAAGAAAAAAAAAAAAAAAGACGAAGAAGATGACGACGAAGGCGACGAAGACGATGACGACGACGACGACGACGACGATGACGATGACGAAGAAGAAGAAGAAGAAGAAGAAGAAGAGCACCAGCAAGACCAATGACAAATCCCCCTTCTCTCTCCACCTTCCTCCTCCTCCTTCACTTCGCCAATCTTATTCTTCTTCCAATAATCCAATAATAATAATAACAATGACTGGATGAACCAGAATCAATATCCGAAGTTCCCTCTTATTGCTGACATCACAATAGGTCCACCATAGCTATGGCTTCCCCCCCTTCTTCCACCCCTCACAAGCCTAGGCTATGGCGGACAATTGAGGGTTCTGCCCTACTGTGCGAAGGACAACACAAAGCAGCTATGTCGCTGCACTCCTGTCCAGAGGACAACCCAAAGCAGCTATGCCGCTGCTGACTAAGCTACCCCAACTGGGGCCTTCCAGATGCAGCTCCCAACAAGGTGATGAAGATGGTGTCCACCATAGCCAGGTAGGTACCTCGCCACTCTCCTCCTTCGCCCCCTTCTTCCTCCTCCTCAAGCTGGGCTGCTCGCCATAGCCAGGCTGAGCGCCCAGCTGCTCTTCACCTCTAGGCAGCGCTGCACAAGTCCAGCGCTTGGCTCAGCAGCATGTCGCCAATCCTTGCATACCGCAAATGAGGAGGAGCTGCTTGATCCTCCGGAAGATATAGCGGCCTACTGGCCTCTTGGGCGGTGACTTCCTAGGCCGAGCGGCCTCCCAGCAACCGGTACCACCTCCCTTTCGGAGGGAAACATCATTGCAGGCTCTGCTATCATCCGGACAGGCCTAGACTCGGGCGACTTTGACTGGTACCGGCCTACCTCTAACCTACCGCTACCGCGCCTCTAAAAATGCCAACTTTGACTTCTTCTGCTCGGCCTCCAGTGCCCGACACTTCTACCACTACTTGAGTGGTACCGGCCTACCTGAGTGTCGCGGGCCTACCCCCCCTACTTGAGTGTTTTCCCCGCTGCTCTGAGTGTCGCGGGCCTACCCCCCCTACTTGAGTGTTTTCCCCACTGCAACCGTCAAAGTCACGGCCACAGTTAAGTAACGGCCCTGCGGGGCCTTTCAACCAACAAGTACCCCTGTGGGTCACACACACACTCAGCCGACAAGCACTCAGACGGGCATGCAAACCAGCAGGCACGCACACACACACAGACTTGGAAACCACAGCAGAATGCGGGAATCTCAGCAAGGCATTCATTCCAGCGGCAAATCCCAGAAATCAGCAGTGTTCTCAGTCTGTGTTTTGGCGGGTCATTACACGAGATGGGTTTCCAAGAAAGAACTTCTACCTACTGCACCTGATATTGTCGCTGCATATGAACGTGAATTAAATGAAAGAGCCTAAAATATTAGTATCTGTGATGGAACTCGAGATTGGACCTGATGGAATGCAATAACTCAACGTAAAATATGCAATGGTCTTGAGCCACACGTCGAGACTTGGGTCTAAGGGCCATAATAGGGGCCAAAGGTCACACCCAAGTCACAGGGAATTGCCTGATATGATGCCTGCTGCTATGGGTACCCAAAGCAAGGCCTAAACTGGGGTCTCAGACAGTTGACCGTGGAAAGTCGGTCAACAGAAGCTTGGAAATTCAGGCTCATGAGTTGAAGTCTGCACGGTCCAAGCCCAGGCCACAGACCAGACACACACATTGGTTGTTTGCAGGTATCCCCCAAAATTCCAGTCCAAGTGGGAATCTGCAACTATAAGAGATCCAGGCCATTACCCGTGGGTCAATCTGGACAGTCGTATTCGA